GCGCCCCGCCCCTGCCATGCGCGACCTTCCCTGAGCTCCCCCTGGCTGGTGCTGCTGCCCTGTGCAGCACGCTCAAACCAGCAGGTGGAGAGACACCCAGACGTGACATAACGTCACAGCCCGGGATTTTAAAGTTGATGGGTGCTGTGATGAGCGCATGGCTGAGTTGCGGGTTCGGAGTCCGGGGACAGAGCACAGACTCCGGCCCCACAAAGTGGAAGGCAGAAGGGAAGGGAAGGGAAGGGAAGGGAAGGGAAGGGACTTGTGCAGAGGGAGAGGGGAAGGGAAAGGGGAAGGCACCCCGGGAGCGCCGCAGATTGGCCGCCCGCGCTCTGGGCGCGCAGCGCTTGGGGGGAGGGGGCGACCCCCCCGGGGGGAGACATCTTTGCACTTAGCCACGAAGACAAAATGGTGGCGTGCCTCAGTTTCCCTTTTCACACAACACCTTCTGGCTGGAACCTTTTTTGTCCTGTAAGAAGTTCCAAGACCCGTTACATGCATTAATCATGAAATAGCACCATCAAAATGTCCTTTTACATAACATATGTCATTTAGTACAGCCCCTGACAAAAGCGGCGAGGAGTCCTGTGGCACCTTATAGACTAACTGAAGTATAGGAGCGTAACTTATCGTGGACAAGACCCACTTCGTCAGATGCACGTAGTGGAAATTTTCAGAGGCAGGTATAAATATGCAGGCCAGAAAAAGGCTGGAGATGACGAGGTGGATCCGATCAAGGAGGATGAGGCCCACTTCTAGTAGCTGATCTGGAGGTGTGAATTCCAAGAGAGGAGAAGCTGCTTTTGTAGGTAGCGAGCCATTCACAGTCTTTGTTTAATCCAGAGTTGATAGTGTCAAACTTGAAGATGAAGTGTAGCTCAGCAGTTTCTCTTTGAAGTCCATTTGGTAGAATATCCTCTTTCTCTCCAAAAGCAAACGGATGGACATTATTTCTGTAAGATCATGCACATCGTATACCTTTACAATTCTCTGCAACAATACTACATCGGTTACACAAATTAACATCGGTGACAAGAACAATCCTACATCAGGTGTACATTGACAACATTCTCCATCATGCCACGTCTTTGGCTCCGCACCATTGCAGTTTTGGCCCTTCTGGTTTAAACTGCGAGTCTTCTTGGCCAAGGCAAGTCCTGCCCCTCCCCCTTGTCCTGTGGGCTCAAAACCTGAAACCTCTGGCCTAACCAGGACAAAGGGCTGGCTGGGTGCGACTCCCTGGCTCACAATGGCCCTGGAATTCTCCCCCTTCCTCCACTCAGCGGGGGAAGAGCAGTGAGCTGTAGGCTCCCAAGTCTCTCCTTTGTCCACCTCCAACCTCTGTTTCCACATGGAACTAGATATCCAACTCCCTGATTGATTATGAGTGTCCACCGAGTCCAGAGATGGAAGCTCAACTGCCATTTCCTGCATCCTAGAGAGAGTGACCCCACAGCTGTTCTGCCCTGCAAACTTAGCTCCACAGTCCTTCTCCTGAACCTGAGACACACACTTTCCACTCTCCTCATCCACCTGGGAATAATTCTGCCCCAAACACACTGACCTCCCAGCAAGCTGGTCACACACAGTCACCCGGTTATCAGACTGCTCCAATTCTCTGGCTGTTCCTGTCTCAGTTAGAACAACCCTCAGTCCCCCTGAGACCTATTTACAATCATCCACACTGGGTTTCTCTAAACCCAAGTCAGTGGGGTCCCTGCTAACAGACAAATTCTGTCTGTCAGGCAGTGAAAGAAGTGCCTCACACACCAAGCTGCTGCCCTTTAGAGGTAGAGCCAGGGCCAGTCTTAGGCCGATTTCACCAATTCCCCAGGGTGGGGATGATGAGCCACAGCCAACTCCTCCTGCAATTCCTTTACTCCCTGGGTTATCTCTGGCCCCTCCGCTGGATTCACAGACAATCCCCTCTGAGGCACACAGACAGACGCACAAGATACAAGGTCAGAGACACCTTCTCTCCCTTTGCAGCTCTGTTGATGGCTGTAAACTTCCATACGGTCATTAGGCACCAGAGTTAATGTGCCCTAATTCTCTCCTTGTGCCCGGGCTAAGGGGTCACCCTGGTCCCACAGACTCGCTCTCCAATCTTCCAGCAACACAGCAGCATCAGGCACAACATCAGTGTCCCCACTATGGGTATGTCTACACTACAAAGTTAGTTCGAACTAACAGACGTTAACTTTCATAGGTGCTACACTAGCGGAGCGCTTAGTTCGAACTAGGAAAACCTCATTTTACAAGGATTAAGCCTAGTTCGAACTAGCTAGTTCGAATTAAGGGGTGTGTAGACCCTTAATTCGAACTAGTGGGAGGCTAGCCTTCCCCAAGTTTCCCTGGTGGCCACTCTGGCCAACAACAGGGAAACTCGTCTGCCCCCCTCCCGGCCCTGGACCCCTTAAAGGGGCACGGGCTGGCTACGGTGCCCATGCCAGGTGCAAGCCTGCCAGCACCCAGCCAGCAGAC